CTTCCAACCGATTGAGTGGCATGGGCCGTGCCACCCTCCCGTCTAAGAGGAAAACCTGGGCCAAAGAGATGTGTTGGCGAGGGACAGTCCGTAGACTGATCTGACGTCAACCGTCAGGTACCCGGTTTCCCTCCGCACGGGTCGTACCTCACGGTCAACAAGGCGCCCACTCTGTGGGATGGGTGGCCTCTCTTTTTGCTGCACATGAGGTCAGCGGTGGGAGAAAAGATAGAAGAAGGAAGAAGAAAGGAGGAAGGAGAAAAGGAAGATACACCAAAGTCGGTGTCGCATCCGGATCCCAGATGGTTGGGATCCGTGTGCGACACCTCGTCTTTGAAGGGGTTACACCTGTAGACGAATCAGTGGGTCTGTTTAAATCCCCCTGACCCACTGGGGGTAGAACCTATCATAAATAAGTTCATGCCTACATGCTTTTTATAACATTCTATACTGATTCCAGAACCAGGCGTTCAGAATTCGAGTTTTACTTCTTTGGAATGTTCAATTTTCAGCTATTTTTAAAATTTAAAAAAATCTAATTGAGGTGGAAGCACCACCCTAATGTGTTTGTTTATACTCTGATGAAGCGTCATTCCAAGTATAAGAGATATGAATTGAAGGGTCTTGTGCGCCCTTGACATAAACAACATTGAAAACAACTTGTACGTTTTAATTACGTTCAAGCCTAATCATCTCCATGTTTTAAATGACCCATACAATTTATCATTTGTAACTGTTCAACTCCTGAGCAGCATGCATCCCTCTGCATTTTGATTTTCCGTAAGAAAGAGGCTCGTTTATTAGTTGTTCTCTCTTGGGTGTATTGGAATTTTGTCCCCGTATTTTTGTTCTCAAGAAATATAAATACATTGAATGAATGTTGTGAGAGGAGTCATTGAAAGGCATTTGCATACTGGGAACCGATCATGAATAAATTAATGCTTGTATGTTTCTGTTAGTCTGTATTGATTCTAGTACCAGGCATTGAGCATGTTGGGTTTTGTTCTTGAATTTTTTCAATTTTCAGCTCTTACTGATTACTGAGGTGAAAACATCACCTTAATTTGTATATTTAAACTCTGGTAAAGTGTTAAAATAAAGCTGTTGCACCTTTGGGGTGTGTTTATTTTCATTCCTAAAGTAGTACGTACTTGTAAGTAAGTGAAATATACTGAGATTTGGCAACCAAACTGTCGTATCTGGAGTTGCCATACCCCTGTCTGTTGAAATTTGAAATCAAAAGAGTCGAAACTCAAGATACGAGTTACTACAGTTTGCTTGCAAGTTTCTGTTTGCAGTTTATCGTAACTCATCATTACAGGAAAAGTGGAATAGGCAGCCACAAGCTCATTAGAAGTACGAGTGTGAACTGTACTTTGATGCTCACATGCAAAAAATGAAACCGGTATCTCTAACCGTTTGGAAATGAAATGGTTTTTTCGTCTCCTGAAAAGTAGCAAATTTTAGATACGACTTTTTGGAATCGTACCCTCGGTATACTAGTTAGTACACATGTACGAGGGGCATACCAAAAGTATTTTTTACCTGACCATGACGGAACAAATGTAGAAAGCTGAAATTTGGGGTGAGAGCCAACAATCATCTTCCTAGAAAGAATGCTTGTAAATTTGGGGGAATTTCAGATTTCTGGTTCTACCACCAGCACACTATAAGTGAATTGGGGTATGTTGTTCATCAGTTTCAACATACAAATTGAGAAAATTGAGCGCAGGGCAGTAATGAAGTACATGTACATTGTCTGTATTCTTGCAAGGCAAGCAACTATATACATTATGTGCATGTACATGATATTTTTACGGAGATACATGCCGTATGGAACTGATTGCCCATCCTTTGTTGTGGTAAAATTTTGATATAAAAAAAGTGATGATTAAGCAAAGAAGCGGTAGAGGGCTGGTTTTCTGATATAGAGAGGGTCCTCTATTCTCAAGGTCTTTTCAAGGTCATACACAAATGGCAAACATGTATAACTCTGGGAGGCGACTATATAAAGAGTGGGTGGTTGGCGGGTGCTCTGGTGTGGTTTGCTTCTTCTTTCCTATCAAATATCTATCGTCTTTATCTACCCTCCTTCCTTTTTTTTTGTTTGTTACTCTCTTGTAACAACACCTCTAATCTTCGGCACTTATATTACCTTATTGTGTTGTGAGTGCCGTAAAAAAATTAATAAAACAAACAAACTACATAAAGAAAGACTAAGTTTAGTATCAAATTTCAACGTTCTACCTTTATTCCTTCACGGTCAGGTAAAAAAAACCTTTTGGTATGCTCCTCGTACAACGGTTCTAATAAACACCAAGGAGTACATCAGATAACATGCATGACACTGGGGGACTGAATTTGAAAATTGAAAACATTTGAGAAAAACGAAATTTGGCCTATTTAGAATACCTAGATAAAACACAAAAAGGGTGCAAAACCCCACTGCACAGTATACCACATCATGTATACACACATGCCAGAGTCAATCCAATTGAACCCAAAGTCAGTCAGATGTGTTGCGTGGGTGGTTGGTGGGTGTTCTGGTTTGGTTTTCTCCTTCTTTCCATTGTTCTGATCTCTCCTCCTTCTGTTTTATGTTTGTTACTCTCTAGTCTCTTGTAACACCTCTAATCATAGACACTTATACGAGCGTATGACCTCATTGTGTTGCTAGTGCCGTAAAACTGTTACCAAAAAAAAAAAAAAATATTTGTTTCTACGTCCTGTGGCATGCCCCATGCCTAGAAGACATCTTGTTCTGTCAAATTGTGACACTTGTTACTGTTATTGTTTTATATAT